CAAAACATAGCCTACAGAAAAACCGATTACCAGGTTAGCGACATCAACCATTTCGATCATGACTCTTCCTTCCTAATATTGATTTTAAAATCTTTATTTCTGTTGTCTTCAGTTTCTTGCAGTCAGCTTTATGTTATCTCGCCGTCTCTAATCTATGGAGCAGGGTATTGAGGAGGCATGCCATGTATGTTCGCAGCACTGTGATATGGCAAACGTCTTTGTTTCTAAAGAACTTCCTTAGCTTTATTGCTGGCTTTTAATTTCAATGAAGAGCAAGTTTTTGCCTCATTTTTCGCTCCTCTCTTTGCAGCCAAAGTACTCCGGAAATAAGTAAATTTTGGTACTAAACAACCTGTATTATATCGAGAGTAAGACAGTTGTTCTTCTGATTTCTACCCGTTTCCAACTATGCATTCTTCTTTAATTTGACAGGGAGATCTAGATCAGAACAGGTCTCTTAAGAGCAGAATTTGACGCAATAATGCAACAGCTTCGAAGCTATCTGCTGGCATAATGACGCATCCGAACCTACCACAGTGCTCACACATACTTCGAAGTCTTTTCGCAGGTGTAGAACCAAAGTTTCTTACTGATTATCAGTCAAAAAACGATGTAAACAGCGAAAAAGGGGTTTCATTTCCCACGTTCTGCTCTATCCGTTGCTCAGACTATTGTCAATTCGAACGTAATTTGACAATTGCTCGTGCATCTCTAACTATGCGAACAGTTTTCCCCAGATTCTGTAATGTTCATCAGTTTTCTAAGAGGTATCTCTTCAAACTATGTCAAAGGCTCTAATGAAAAAATCCACGAAAATAGCAAAGAATTTGGATATCCATTTCATGCACTTTCTTATGATGAATATCTGATTCAAAGATTTTACGCCTGTCCTAAAGTCGAATTATTCTTGACCCATGATCTTCTCAAAATGCTGCCTGTTTCTGTTCACAGTAATACGCACGATTTCATTAGCAGAAACGGATAGTACTGATAGTAGATTTGCGCTACTGTAATTATCTTGATCCAAACCAATATCTTTTTAAATATTGACAGCACAACGGTCAGTCACTTAGGATCTTTTGTTTCAGTCAGAGCAACCCAACGAGAAACGCTAAAGTCAGCATTCCGTCTGAATCAGCATGACACTGTTTAGCTTGATTAACTTTAAGGCTTCACATACTTTTTGAAGAGTCAGCGGATCAATATCGATATTCATCCTTCGTCAAGACATAATATGGCAAAACGAATTTTGATTTATAATCATAGCAGAGTTAAGTCAGTCAGTCAGCGCGCTTTCAACGAGGCAGTCTTGAATTTACTACTGAAAAATGTAGCAGTTTTGTCGCCATGGATACGATGCGTTATACTGAAAAAGTTTCAAGAGATATTACAGCAGCTTCAAGGTCAACTGAGGTTGAACGAACTTGTTTATGTATTGTTTCTGTCATTGATTTTGACAGCTATCTGACATTCAGTAGTAATGCTTAATTACATCGATTGTCTTCCTTTCGGATCGAAAATTGAGCCTATTGCGTTAAAGCGTACTGAAGGGTGCGTAATTGATGTCAAGGCGCAAAAATTAAGCACATCTTATATGAAAAGAAAGGTTAATGTTTCTAAGGGGTTCTGAATCTCATTTAATGTAATGGCCTCATAAGACATTTGTGTATAAAGCAGGATAATGGGTTTATTAATCCCGCACTAAAACGGTAAATTAGCGTAGTTGTTTCGATTCCAATCATCTTCAAATTTCACTTTTATCAACCTTAAAGCTACGTTTCATACAGCGATGTTTAAAGTCTTAAAGTGCTATGCGATACCTGAGTACATTGTTTCCATATGGAAAATATGCACGCAGAATCTATCTTAGCCATCATCCTTCGCCTCATGATTATCATCCTCATCCCCACTACCACCAGCATTTTTCGACCCATTGTCGGTTGAAAGCATTTTTTAGATTTGGAACGGAAGTATCTGTTCTAGCTGCTAACCGACGTGTCTCAGTAAATTTCTCTCGTTCAACTTGCCATCAATTTTGAGATCTTTCCTGGCATTTACTGCTTAGTAAAAGTAATTCTCTTTAATCCTGGCTTGTCTGTTTCGTCCACTCCATTGTCATACCAATTTCTAGTTTTCGCAGTGGCATTAGATGTCATGATTTACGCGCTAAACCAGTTGTTCGTCTTTTCTCTCACGTCTATTGCCAACGTACACCTTTACGTACTGTAAAGGTAGTACCTACCGTAATTTACAGTTTTAGTAAAGCTTATACGCTTGTGTACATGCTCCGCATTTGCACTTCAGTAATGGGAGAACGCACTGATCGAATGCCTTCATTTCAAGCACCAAGGTAATTTCCGAAATTAGAATGTCTTCAATCTTCCAAAGGTTTCTTATTTCATACTCAATCTAGGCTGATTACGTACAGTTAACTGTCTGTTTCGCACCTCTTTATGCTTGAGTCCATTGATTTAAACAGTTTGTGGGCTCGCCTATTGTTAAACATACAGCAATCATGTCTGCATCAAAATTAGAGCTTTTTCTTTACCGTAACTTGTTAGTCGTGTAACACGACAAGTAAAATGTGCTTTCTGTTATACGCCGCTTTATGCATTGTCTTTAGAAACAGTCACGATCTAAGCAACAACCAACTTCGCATCCTAAAAAGGCGGCGCAGTTGAAGATATCCAGCCACATACCTTGCTGACCTGTAGTGGGAGAAGATGTTGTCCTTGTGAGTAGTGAGGGAAGAGAATCTCGTCATCTTACCCCCAGAGGCGACGAAACGACGAGAGCTTGTCATTTCCATAATACTGAGAAATCAAAGGTTATGAAGAACCTAGTTGGGTTCAGCCGACATGCAAGTGCATCAGAGAAGTGAAACGGTCAAGGAGACCGATTAGCTTAAGAACCTCGGTTCAGTCGTCGCTAACGACGGTAGCCGATAATAGTCAAATATGAGGATCGCTTTGTTCCAGACTTTTTGATAACCTGCCAAAAATTTAATTTGATAAGGGATATTGCGAATAATTTTTCTTTCCACGTAAATCCGTCCATATCTTGCCTTAATCTATTCCCTGTTGCAATGCAGCATAAAGGCCGCCGTTTTGACCGACGAAGGACCAGAACAACGGTTGAACAGCATAGAGAGACGCAGGTGTCGACTCATGGTTTCGTTCAGTGGCAGTATCATGAATGGAATGAATCGATTGTCTTCTTGACATAGGTATCTTCAGTACATGCAAAGATTAGACGGACGAGGTTAACGCTGTTAGATAAAGAGGGGTTGAACTCAACCCTTTCATTCCAGCCTTCGAGATTCGCATGCACGATCCGAAGCATGGCAGCCGTCCATCATTTTCAAACTGCGTTCTGAAATCAACTGTACTTTCCACGAAGCGGTTGCTGGCGCCATATTATCAAAGTGACAAAAAGCTGACAGCTGGCAATGGAAAACGGAGACTGCTACACTTTATGGTGAATTGTCACCTGCCCTCGAAGTGCAACTGCACCAGGCGCTCGCCTCTGTTAGCATGGTCGTACTGGAGCTCGCCTATTCTGACATGACCATGCGAGAATACCATGCAGTTCGTACTGTTCGCACTCAACGACTTGCTACCCACTCTCAGCTAGTTGCATCAAAGCAACGTCGGGCAATTTTCTTACTTCAAAGAATTACCGGCTACCCCAAAAGTTCGAAGCCGACGTCCTTGCCACGGTGCCACCGCGCCCACATTCAATGGGCATTGCAATAGGGAGACTCCGCTTATGGGCCAACGACTGAAAGTGACGAACACCGTACGCTAGTGGTCAACGAAAGGCCGTTGGGCTAATAAACGACGAAAACCAGGGTTCAGAACCCTGGTGCAATAGTATGAGTTAGTATTTCTTGCTGTCGGTAGTCCTTCCATAATCTGTTTCCTTGAAACTAGGGAGACATGGAGCGCAATGGAGCAACCACGTCAGTCCGATGTGGAAGGTGCCTGCTTGTGAACCAAAGGCCGTTAATGGCTTCCGCAGAGCAGAGCTCATTTGCTGATCGGCTGAACAGTGGCAACCGCTCCCAACCACTAGATGATTACGAACCGATCAGGATTTTATAGTAATCCACCACTGCTTCGTTGACAGACGGTCTCGGAGTTAACGGTAAGCGTTCACGGCTACCGTAACCTCTGCGGGGAAGAAGCCCACCGTACTTCACCCTGACGAGCAATCCCATTACTTCGATCGTTGTCCGGTGACGATGACAACAAGCAATAACAACGAAATGACGTCAGCACAGTGACAGTCCGAATTTGCCAGCTGGCTGAAAGAGGATTTTCGAAATACAGAGCAAACATTGCCAGTTTTCAGTGGGAAATGACCACATTGCGAGACACCGAAGCTGTTCTGCATTAAGTGTTAACTCTCTTTTCTGGCTCTTCAGCAGCTCAAGTTTTTCTTGCTGGTTTTTTGCTGACAGTCGCTAATGAAGGCGCTTGTGACGCGCCTCTTGAGTTAGTTGATGATGACACAATCAATCGATCCTATCCAAGGCGACGACTTCTGCCGCAGCCAACGGAACAAGCTGTAGATGGAAAGCGAGAAAGAGCCGGGCGACCCGTCCAGCGTGTTGCACATGTTTACATTGAAACCACGGCAACGGAAGGACGGGCGAACGACACGGCGAGAAGGTGGTCAACGACGACGCGGTGTGAGGAGTAGAGTCAGTGGAGCAAAATCAACGCACAATCAATATGCGATGATGATCTGGCAAACGATCAATCGGTGACTGTCATGCTGACCATTTCATCCGAGGTGACTTTAGTGACCCTTGGTGTTCGGCGTCGTTTGTTGTGAATGCGGACGGTCGAACGGTAACGGGATATGAGAGTGCAGCATCGGCCGGTCAGTTGGTCGGCTTAGCGCCCTTAGGCAGCGCTCCAGCGCCGTGTCCTCATCTTCGGCGAGCCTCGCTTGTTGCGACGGCTCATTATTTGCGCCTGTCTGCTGATGATGATTCACTGAAACCGCGTTCGGTCGGCATCTACGCATTCCTGAGTCTCGATCGTGGCCGAGGACAACGAGACAAACCGACAGCACAGGCGATGACAGGAACGACCGAAGTCATCTGGGAATCGCAATAGGAGTCGGTTACGGCACACGGTCCAGCCGAAGGCGGAAGACGGCTGAAGTAGTTCTTCGTCGTCAATGCCCAAATCAGGACATGAGTCGCCGTCGATCTTGTAGATAGCCATAGCCAGCCGTTCGCCCGGCCATTGTCCAGCGTCAAGACGGGGACCTGCTTGTTTGGCCGGGTAGCTGGTGCGTGCTCATTAGTAGCACACTGTAGTCAGAAGACTGGACTCCGTGACGGCACGACGGAGTTGAACGCTGGACGCTGTGTCGTCAGGGTTTCGATTTTCAAACACGGCCAGGCCGAGGCCGACCTCTGGCCGTGACCGTCGTACAGCGTTCATTCATTTCCGCCGCAAATCGCTGAAATTCTTCGTGCATTTACCTCGCAATCGAAATCCGCTCCGGTTATTGATCGTTTCAGGT